GAGCATGAAGTTGCCAGTTAGCCCACCGTGACGAATTCACTAGGTTTAACTGCGATGGTTTCCAGGGGGGACCGCGTGGAGGTCGACCTAACATGATAAATTATTAGCATTGGGGCTACTGTTCCCATAACTAATAATCCCTTCCCCCTGCACGATGTATGTTGTGATGATGCATGTTGAGTTAACAATAATTTCAATCATAGTTATTGAAAAATAGTGCTATCCTATTAAACTTATTTTGATTTTCCTTAATTAATAAATAAATAAACGCTCTAATATACCCTTTTTATTATATATTAATGTTGGTGGTATAAAGGCAGAGGAAGGCCGAAAAGAGATGCTGAAAGATGATATTGTAAGAATGGGAGTGAATAAGTAAATGACTGCGAACAGAAATGAATGGAAGAGAACAACAAATTACGCCGACTCCAAATGATATAGGATAGGGTAACGATATACATGATATATGTACTATAATAAATATATTATTGTGCTTTATATTATTGTATCATTTATTGAGTGAAGCGTGGAGCAATCTCTGTAACGATACTCCCCCGAAACAGCTTGACCGATCGAGACAAAAATTTCATCGTAAAATAAAAATTCAAAATTAAAAAATCATTAATTCACGTAGGACGTTTTAGCCGCTTATGAACTTCAAGTTAGATCGTAGGTCGATCTTTTGCCTTCATTGTTTACCACTGAAAAAAATTTCCGATCGGTCAAGGTCGAGTTTTTGTAGAGTCGAGTACCATATGCTTAAAGATTATTATAGACAAAACGATATGCCTATATAAATACTGATACAAATACATAGAGATATCCAAACCTCATTTAGAATATCGTACATTTTCAATGCATGTGTATAAGCTGATAATAGCAAACCATTATTGATTCTAGACAACAGATGTTAAGGTTGCAATTAGAAAGCGTTGTACAATTAGGAACAGGGTTGTCAACCGTGAATAAAATTCACCATAGAAATATACTCTCCTCAGAGCCTAAACTATCGGATTTTGTTTTGACTTTTTTGTGTAAATGGAATACAATGAAGATAATAGTAGATGTTCATCTAGGAAGTCGTAATAAATATAAACATACTATTAGGAATCAGCGCAGAATTACTAACTACATATAGAATTACGTAACTATCCATATGCATAAGTAATTTATTTATTATTAAAGGAATATTTTATTTAATTAAAAAATATTTCAACTTAATCATTATAACATTAGCTATCTGCAAGTGAAAGTCCTATCAAAATAGGTTCAGTTGTTTCTCTGAAACAGATTAGCAAGAACAAGCAGACAGACAGAACTTTTTATATTATTTTTTTAAGTAATAGAACGACGGCCATCGTGTCTTTATGTCACGTTCAGGAGTCAGCTATCATGTCTATTCACTTATCCCACCATCCAACCGAAACACATCTTACAAAGCAAACTGCTTGGCTGAAATTGGTGAGACTGACGTAACCACGCAAACCAGTTTTTACAAAGTCTATGTCGGTTTTAGTCTCGTATAACGAAGTAAATAAGCCATATGTAGTCTCAATACTTTAAAATCTCGTACAAAATCGTACGAGGTAGATTTTACGCAATATATATTTTAAAAATCCGCCCGCTTGGGGGCGGTACAAGATTTTAGTTCTGATCGGTTGGCATCCCTATTTAGGAGGATATGGTATTCGTAAATTGTTTCATACAGGAAAAAGAACCGAACAAAGATATTACACGAGGTTAACTGAGGCACAATGTATTCTATTGTAATATAGATTTCATTATAAGAAATACGTCGTTGCATTATTGCCTTTTTCAACACACTTATACACGCTAGTAAAATATATCTAATTTCACTGGTTTTCGATATATAAATCAGCTCATAAAACACGAGTGCGTTATAAACGCAAATAGTGAAGTTATATTGCATAATTTTTTTGTGTAATTGGAATGGTAAACAAGCTGATGGTACTAAGATTTTTTTTAAAGCAATATATTTGAAGTTTATTTATCTATTCCCTAATCAATAGAAATAGAAATAATCTTTATTCAAATTAACTCATTACAAGCACTTTTGAATAGTCATATTTTGATTCTACCACTCATTCGGAATCCAGATTCATAACAAGAAGAATGAGCAAGAAGCTTGTGTGTTGCTCAAGTGTTGTGTTGTGTGATTTTGAATAGATGTTTCATTATATAATAGTAAAGTCTTAATGAGATATTAGAAAGAAGTATCAAAATCTATTTTATAAAGTTTTATAAAAGAATGTGCATCACAATGATAAAATATTGTTTTATGACGCGGTGTCTTTATAGATATTATTGAAAATTAAAAATAATATTTGACAATTCAACATCAATTTATATTTTTGATATTTATTTGTGCGTGAGTTTAATCATCCGTGACTCTCACATAAGAGTAATGGTCGCACGAAATTGGATATGTCACTTATCTGTGTATGGGGTCCCGCGGGAAACCCAATATATTTGCAAATTCAAGTATGCAACGCCAAGTAAATGTGGAATACTTCCATTGTGACCTTTAGGGTTGTTACAATAACTATATATTACATATTTTTCTAATTAGCCATGAAAATTACTAATATATAAACGTAATATTCTGTGTTTTTGTGTGTGAAAAATGTTTGATTTTCAATGGATTTTAATGAAACTTTACAGTAACATATCTTATACATCTGAATATAAATTTCAAACGGATGTAACTGTGGGCATGCTACTGTACTGCTATAAGTATATAACTGTAAAATTTCATAATAATCCGTTCAGTAGTATTTTGTTACTGTTACATACTTTTTCAAATTCAAAAATCAGTTATTCATGTATATTATGAACGTCAAATTTTTACATTATATTTTTTTTTTCTGTACCGTCCAGTTCGGTATATAGATCAATAGATCATTGAGAAGAACTGGCAAGAAACTCAATTGAATTACTTTTTTTTTTAAAGCCAGTTTATTTACAATGTATTATTATATAGGTGTCTCAACATTACAAGCATGAACAACTTTTGAATATTCAAGTAATCGTTTAGTGAGTAATAGGCTCTAAATATGATTTAACAGATGTTTTGAATTTATTTAAGGGTAATTCATATCCTTTGGTATCTTATTGTAAATTTTTATACCCCATAAAAGACCTATTAACTTTTTCTAAACGATACTTGGGGACAGCAAGTTTGTCTTTAAATCTTGTATTAATATTATGAATATTGCTGTTTTTTGGAAATAAGTCAAGATTTTTATGAACATATAGCAATATATAAATTGAGAAGCAACGGTGAGAATATTTGTGTTTGAATTTCTCTCTTAATGAGTGTTGTGTTGTGTGATTTTTGTAATATGAATATATTTTTAATATCTGTTTCATAGTAATATAAAGAGAGTAAACTATGAAAATAACTAAAATAGTCTTAATGATCAGATATTAGCAAAAAGCTGCTGAACTTAGTATCAAAATCTATTGTTATATCTAGTTTTATAAAAGAATGATTCTATAAATTCCAGTTAGTCATTTAATTTAATATTGCAATTAGTATTAAAACTTTTAGACAGAGAGATAACACATTTTGTTTTTCTGAATACCATATCTATAAAGACGCGGTGTCATATTATTTGACAATTCAACATCTAATTTATATTTTTGTGATATTTCATTAATGTAAACTAGGTAAAAATGGACCGAGAATAGATTTAGACACCCATTTGCACAAGTGATCATCCGTGACTCTCATTCTATCAGATAGATAAGATTTTAATGGTCTTTGACGCCATAAAAAGCAAGTTTTTTTAGCAATGTATTATGATCAACGATCAAAAGCCTTAGAAAGGTCACAAAAAACACCTATCGCATCTTTTAGTTTCCCATGTAGCAAATACGTGTCTAAGCAACTCTGCACCTGCGTCTGTAGTTGAACGACCTTTGGAAAAACCGAATATATTGTGGATTAAATTATTTAAATTGAAATAACTGACAAGCTGCATAAGGATTATTTTTTCAATGTGCTGAATAGATATAGGTCCATTTTATTGACCTTTCCAGATTTAAAAAGCGTTGATTACAATAATGTATATATCTATATTTATTTTTCTTATACTTAGTATTTTAACAGATATACCATAGATCCTCTTCATTTTTAATTATTATGTTAAATATCATAAACAAGACAACAATGAATATTATTCAATGTTTTGAAAGTGTGTGTGAAAAACTGGAAATATGTCTTAATTTGTCATATGATATCTAGCAATGGCTATGGATTACTAATATTGTATTGTTATTTAATCAAATACATAAGTTTAGTTTCGCAATATTTGGAATATATTATCAATATGATAATAAATAAATTTTATGAGCTGTATTGTAATAACAATAATATTTTATGTTACATGGGTTTTTTTCCTCTCTCAACAACAACAACCGAATATAATATTTAACAATATTATTGTTTATTTGTAAACTATAGTAATAGGGAAGTGTAATAACTGTATTTAATTATTAAAGGAGTCAATAGAAATCCAAGACTATATAAGTTGGCTGTAAAGATTTTTGTCACAAAGAAATCACAGATTTGCACACCAACAACAATCGACGTTACTTATGCCCAAAACTCACTGATTATATAAACTAGTATTGTAATTTCACTAATAATAAATAAATAAGAGCCAACTGACAAAGACTGTTATCGGCAGTGTTGCCAGAGAGAAAAAATCTATATAAAACTCACAAACTTTCGCGTTTAAAACATTAGTATGATAATTGCATTAAAATTTCGTTCCAGTGTTTTGACTGGACCGAAAATGTAAATTCAAAATTTCTATAGAGTACTTTATTATCTGTAAATATATAGCTTAGAATGTAATATTAATTATTAAACTACTGTATATGTTCACAACTAAACTACTACTATGAAACTATGGTACTTATGCAACTCTATTTGTAAAAACAAATAATTAATATTCTACATTTATTATTTACAGATGTCCTGATTGCTGTTCATCTTTTGTAAATTGGTGAGTACCTCTTCATACTATTAAACTTCATAAATCGTGATAAAAGTTTATATATTGTATATAAAAGAGACCTTACTAATATATTAATTACAAAATTGTTATAGGCTTTTTTGGAAGTAAAAATTCTTTGACTATCTCAGTGGTTTGGCGGTTTATCACAGTTTTACTGTCGATGCTCGCGGGTTCGGTTCCTTGCACGGTGCCAACATTTTTATTCATATGTATGATTGTTTATAACGGTCTGTTTTCATGTATAATACGTATGTATTTACAAAAAAATATCTAAGTATTTATATCAATTGTCTAATACCCATAACACAAGCTCTACTTACCGTGGTTCTAGATGGCGCAGTGTCAATTGTCAGGATTATTTATCTATTATATTAGTATGTATATTTCATTAATTCATTTATTTCAGGCAACTAGGCCCATAGGTATTATAAATACCTTATAGACTAACATACATATAATATAATATTTAAAAACTAATACATTGATATTGTCTGTGTGATCACGGCACTGAAGACGGCAATCACCACACCTTTTAGCCAGTAGTCCTCTTTCATGGAGGTGGGCAGCAAGTTGGTGGGGACCAGAGTCACAAACGCTTTGAAACTCGCGTTGTGACTCGACTTCAGCTGCGTCACCCTCAATGTCAGGTTACTCTTGGTACGGATATAATCGACAATGTCCTGCTCCATAATGTAGACGGGACAGGTACATTGTCGTGGTCGGTGTAGCAGTATATGAATAGATAACATAGTAAGGGTTATAAAAAAATCTGTTGTAGCACTTTAATAGTACTATAGAATAAATAAACCTTATTAACGGCTTCAACTATCCGCCCTTATCATGTTTTATAGCAAACTAAACACATTACAGTCGTAAAAGAATATTTTTAAACAAAATTGTGTTTTATTATTTTAAAAAAGTCATAAACTCAACTGTTTTAAAGTTACTCTAGATGGAAAACAAATGAATGGATGATATTGAAAAGATGATGGAATTCTGAAATGAATGCCTGTATAATTTATCATGATCAGGTCAATATTGTACTCATCCGGAAAGAAAAGAATAGACTAGAAAATTCTTTATTCTAATAAACTTAAATTTAAGCACTTTGAAAAGCTATAAAGCTAATAAAGAAGCTTAAAGATCATCATAGAAAATCATTCAAATACTGGTTCACTGCTTACTGCTGGTTTGTTCTAATCTAGTATTAAGTAAAATTGTGAACGTGTGTTGTATCTATTGATTACATTTAAGCGGCTAAATAATAATAATAATAGTGTAGTATACGCCACAAAGCGTAGCAAACCAACAAAAGCTGAGAAAATTAACCATAATAATAATACTCCTAGATAATTCACACAACGCCATCTAATCACAAAATAAGCAGAATTTGTGTTATGAATACTAAACAACTGATATATATACACAGTTACATTTATTTTTGTAAATCCATACATATTATACATAGACCCAAATGCAAACAATCATACTCATGACTACAAAAAGACTGCATCGTGCGAGGAATCGAAGCCGCGACCATCGGAAATGATGTGCTAAACCGCTAGACTATCAAGGGTGTAATTACTTGAAAATATACTTAAAAAACATATATATATAAGCGATGGTTGGCACTTACCATCAGGTGGGCCGTAAGCTTGCTTACAATTCCATTACACAACTTTTTTAAGTTTAACAATTATACGTAAAGTCGCAGTAAATTCTAGTAATAATAAGTTCAATGAATTGGAACATATATGATATGTCATATATATAAGTTAATAGTGAAGTACATACACAATCTCGTGGAACCAATCTCATTTGCCTTCCAGATGTAATCACAGATGGAATATGCTATGAGCCAACAAATTCATCACTATTTTTTGTACTCAGTAAAGACATACATTTTTATATACAATTGATCCATATTAATATTATGAAAGTCTATCTGTCGGTCTGGTTGCAATCTTTATAGAACTGTGATATTAGTTCTGAATAGATTACATATGTAGCGAAATGTGATACCCACTACACCATAGTACCCCTCTACGATCGATCCCCCATCCAATCTAAACGGGGATCGAAATTACAGACCGAGCCGTAGTTCTATCGAAACTCTAGCGGTGCCCTCAGACTGAAATCGTATCCTAGTTGCCTTCAGCCGCTCCATAAGTTCTTCCGCGAGTTTGGTGTGCCATCTGCACTCGCCCCCTATCGTCCGGTGAAGCTGTAAAGGCCAGCTGCGGCCAACAGCATTAGGGTAGCATGAAAAATAACCACTGTAGCGTTTTGTATGATGTGATCAGATATGATGTGATAGATCACATCATACATAATGCTTTATCCTATTACATCTTCTCTTATACATAAAAATGAAATGACGTTTGTTAGTCTCGCTAATACTCGAATACGGCTGGACCGATTTGAGTAATTTTTGTTTTGAAATATCTGTAGAACTCCAAGGAATATTTAAGAGGTGAGAAAATATGAAGAAATTGCATGACAAATAGTATAAACAACAATTTTATAAACAAACTGTTCGTACCTGTAAGTGCGTTCAGAAATTGATTGCGTAACTAAACTGCAAATATTTTTGATACAAAGAAAAGACAAAATGAAAAAATATATTTCAACTCTTATACCTAACTTTTAAATTTAAACTCTTGCTTGAACTTATATTTTTTAATAATACGAATTTCACACCTGCTCCTCACAAAGGTCATGAATATAATATAATTCACTTTTGTTCAAGACCAAACTTACCTGCAAAATGCTGAATAATAAACTAATGCGGTATAAAATAGGATATTATTACATTCAGTGCCACCACTTAAACTAGCGATGTTTTTATGCATTCTAAAGTTTAAACTGCCCTATTATAGAGTGCAATTTTAAATATTGCACTCACCTCCACTGTTTATAATGAAATAGAATAGAATTAAATGAATATACCACTACACCGTAATGTATATGCTCACAGCAACATATAAATAACTAGCAACCCGCCCGCCCGGTTTCGCACGGATGCATTACGAATGTTTGATTTTCTCTACCTTTCTGTTCTATAATATACATGTAAAACTTCCTATTGATTTACTATCTGTTGCTGGCAACCGCATTATAATTCATTGCATTTAAATATACAGATAGCGGTGACTACTTTGTTAAGAGTACTAATTATAATAAAAATACTACAATAAATTGGAGATAAAGTTATAATATATACAAACTAAATTCGTACTACATTTGTATTGTCTTAAAAATGTAAAGTTGTCACAACATTTGATTAAAAGAGTTTGTCGAACAAGCAAGTTTGTCGATTTTTCTTCTTTACTGAATATTTAATAAAGAATACAAAATATACAAAAGTACCTACACCTAAATAAAATTATTTACTTTTTAATTTATTGAACTGATACTATTTATTAATATTATAACCTAGTTTGACACTTGGCAACACTAGTACTCTACATTATCTGTAGACCTGTCATTTATATCCACAGAAACTTCTCTGTGTTTATACCAATTCTAGTTTAAAGCTGTGAATTAGTCAGTCGAGTGTGAATCCCTTGTATCTGTTAAAATAACAAAAAACAGATAAAACAGATTGTTAAAACAGATGTTAAAAATTATGATATACATTGAATAAATAAAATAAATAATATTAATAATGATAAATCTTATTAATATTATAAACGCTAAAGTTTCTGAGTGTGGATGAATGTTTATACTTTCAAGCAAAAACTATTGAAAGAATTTTGATGAAACTTCACGATATACATCAGAACTAAAAATTTCACACCGGTAAAACCTAGCTAGTATATAAATATAATTGTTTATTAGTATTTTGAAACGAGAAAACTGATATTATACAAATTGTTTAAAGAATTCAGTTTTATTTCGCCGCTCTACTTCATTCGTTCTAACACTTCTGCAATAATTTCGTCGTCGAATTTGATCGGTTAACAATGAGTAACGTTTGAGTACTAAGTTGTATACTAACCGATCGGTTAAATACAATCCAAGAGACCGATATTCGACTAAACTGCTAGAACGGCGGAGTTTCACGACGTAATATCAGCAGGAAGTACTAGTGGCTGAACAATTGGAACGAAGCTTTCATTCAAATAGATCTGCAAAAAATACTAAGCTTCACTGGAGGTTTTGCCTTTTCAGGATATTTAGATAGATACAGGTTTTTTTATGTCAAAGCTAACACTATGTGATTCCCGTGGTGTTCCTCGTGTATGACTATTCTTAAGAACAAACTTGTAATACCTTACCTTTGTAACCTATAATTTTATTACTATATTGTACTTTTTATTATTATATATATAATAATTATATCCAGTATGAATCATGATATATTAATAACATAAACGCGAAAGTTTGTAAGTATAGATGGATGTTTGTTACTCTTTCACGCAAAAATTACTAAACGGATTTTGACGAAACTATACAGTAATATAGCTTAAACATCAGAATAAAACATAGCTTACAAATATCATGCGGGTGAAATCATAGGCATAGTCAGCTAGTCATAATATGCGTTAAGGTGTATAAAGATTGTATCATGATGAATGTAGGTTATATTTTATCTTAAAAAGCAAAGCTGACGGTATCTAACTATAATTATTTCAAATTGCAACTTGTAAGAGATTACTGATAGCGATATGACGGCCTTTTGTAAAACCTTTTTTTTATTATTTTATACTTATGTTTTTATTGTTCTTTATTTATGAGTGGGCAATAAAGAGTTATATTATTATTAACTTAAATTAATACAACTCAGCTATGTTCTAATAATACCCAAACATTGATACAGTTGCCTATTTTATTGATTACTGTATTCTAATTTATTCTCTCTCCCCGCAAACGCACAAGAAATAAGCTAATTAATTGCCAGAGAACCCCGGACAAATGGGGTTAATCCTGATTAGGAAGAGTCCTGTCGGTTGTTAAAGGCTTTGGAGGTTTAACACAGATGCCCC